TTCGCCTCTGAGGCCACTGATCTCCACGAGCCACGCCCACACCTCGTCTGTGTTTCCTGGGCGAAGGGAGCCCCAGGTGGAACGCAGGCATCTCCCACTGCGAGGCCATCTCGGATCTCGGAGCCTCAGCTTCAAGCCCGGTGGGGTGGGGCTGAGAGGGCCCCACATGCCTGCAGAGCCGTCAGCAGAAGCCCTGCCGGTGCAGAAGCTGGGCTCTTCTTGTTTCTCAGTTAGGGCCCGTCTGAGGTAAAGTTAAACAGTAGATGATGGGGCTGGAGATTTAGCTCAGCGACACAGCACCTGCCTGGCAAAGCGCAAGATCGTGAGTTCGATTCCTGGTACTGGAAGAAAAACAACAAAAAAACCACCAAAAAAACAGTAGATGAAAAATGTGTCCAACCCCGCCTCCCCTAAACCCAAGAGGCCATTTGCTGAGGCCCTCTTTGGGCTCTTTCTCAGAAATTCTTTCAGGCCTCACGGGCCTCAGCCGTGGAGCAGTGGCTGGAGTCCCACAGAGCTCATTAGGTGAGACGAGCTGGGCCTGCGGCCTTCCCGCTTGCCCTTGCAGTGCCATTCTTGGTGTTGGCATGGCCTGGGTGGCTGTGGAAGAGACGCCAGGGGAAGGGAAGATGGCAGAAGGGCACCGCATGTCCCCTCCTCTACGGGGCAGAATGCTGGTCTCTCCTGCGCATGGTTCTGCCACCAAGGCCTTGGAAGGCGGGCCTTGCTCAGATCCAGTAGGGGAGCTGGTTGAAGGGCCAGGCGTGGAGGCGGGGAGGGGTTCGGGGCAGGGGCCCTGCTCTGACCATCTGGGTAGGCTGCAGTGCCAGGCAAATCCTGACTCGGCCTGGCGTGGGGGCCGCCGGGGCCTTCAGCTCCCCACAGCCCGTGCCTGGTGTAGGGGGGCGGGTCTGCTGAGGTGAACCTAACGCTTTGGAGGGGGGAAATAGTTCAGGGCCAGTCCCTACCATTCAGGAGCGCTTCAGAGTCAGGCGGTTCTGGTTCCTCTGCTGTCCTCCTGCAGGGAGACACGGGGTGGCAGGGAGCATCTGCTGCTCACAGATGCACCTGCGGGCTGCTGGCGGCCACTGCAGCGGACAGTGCAGCTTCCAGCATGGCCACGCTGGTCCCGTCAGGTGGCTTTGGCACTGACCTCTCTCCTCTCCTCTCCTCTGCTCTCCTCTCCTCTCCTCTCCTCTCCTCTCCTCTCTCCTACCTTCTTCTCTCGTTCTTCTCCCCACCCCCTCCACTCTTCTCCTTTCTCTCCTTCCTCCCTTCCTCCTTCTCTCCCTCCCCCTCTCCTTCCTTCCTTCTTGCTTGTACAGGGGATTGAACCCAGGGCTTCTGCTGAGAAACATCCTCAGCCCTTCTTGTTTTTTCAGACGGGGTGTCACTAAACTAGCCTGGCTGAGCTTCCCAGCGGGCTGGGATTCTAGGCCTGGGCCACCTTGCCTGGCTCACCTTTTTCTAGGACTCAGATTTCTCCGCTCTACAGCGGGATGGCAGCCTGCACCTGCTCACGGCGGTGTGGAGGAGTGGGCCGTGTCCACACACGGGAGGTGCCACACACGGCCGGTGTGCAGTACCCTTAGCTGTCACTTGTATTCTAGTCCCGACCCCTAACCAGAGCAGCTCGTTGAAAGGGCCCAGAGAGCTGCAGCTTTTCGGTAAGATCTCCGCTTTACTTAACAGTTTGGTATTTTTCATCAGTGTGGAAGTTCAACTTTGTTTCAGAACAGGCTGGCCAGATCCATCCAGCTGTTTTAAGTCATGTTTAAGGACTCCTAGGTTCTTTCCTACCACAGACATAAATATTTAGTGTCAAAATGGCTCCCAAGATCATCTAGTCAAACGCTTCATTTTCCAGACTGGGAACACTGAGGCCAGCAGGTAGCAAATGACACGGCCAAAGCCACATGTGCATCTGAAGACGCAACAGGACAGGAACCCCGATTTCTTGTCCTGGATGAACCCCTGTATTCCTGCTCTGTCCCAGGCTGTGTCTGCAATTCACAGAGTGCTTAGGACTCCTTTAAATGGAAACGTCAGGAAGAGGTGAGGCTCTTGTTTTCTCATTCCCAGAACAAGGTGATGGTTGCATAAGCCGGCGGCGGGACGCGCTCTCTCTCCCTCTCTGTTCTGGGCTCTGAATCTAGAGATCAGCCCGCAGGAGAGAGTCTGGGCGGCTCTTGCAGCCACTCACCCCTGGCTGAGGTTTGTGTGGTAGATGCCCTCCCCCTAGTGGCACGACTGAGGATGACAGGCGGGAGGGGAGAAAAGTTTCTCCCTGGGAGGCCCAAGACGCGACAGGCGCTTCCAAGACTGGACCTCCTCCCCTCACCGAAATCTCAGCTCTGTAAGATCTCCTCTTTACTTAACAGTTTGGTATTTTCACCAGTTTTTGGCACCGATTTTAACACACTGTATTCACATAGGATCTCCACTGGTTACTGGGTTTGGGGCACCCTTTAAAACTTTCTGCAGAGGCCAGGACCGTGCTCTTGCCTCCGCCCTCCTCTCCCCGGTCCTAGCTCTGGTCCAGAAGTCAGTGGTGGTGGTGGTGGTGGTGCAGGGTCCCCGGTGCAGGGAGTGCCTGCCCTGGTGAAGCCCGGCGGGCCCCGTGGGTCTGGAGCTCTTTGCGCTTTAATAATGAGAGTGCAGCTTCTTCAGACCTTGTTCAGGAAGACCGCTGCCTCTCAGAGTATGCGCTACGGGAAGAAAGACTTGTGGGTTAAAGACAGTTTTACTGCACAGAGCGCTGCCTCCTTCCCGGTGCTTACCAACGCGTGAGGCTCAGGGGAGGCAGCCAGAGCTGGGCGGGGCGGGGGCCCAGGCCTCCGGGAAGGCCGTCTCCTGGGGCTGCCGTTTTGGTCTGGGCCTCGCTCCAGAGACATCTTGAGAGCTCCAAGCAGCTCACTGAGGTAGCACCCACCCTTAAAATCATTCCGGGATGAACCGGAGCTCATTTTTGCCCTTAGCTGGCTACCAGAGATCCCTGTACTCCACCTTCTGTGTCTGCCCCACCTGCCAGAGACTTCCCACTTCAAGGAAGACGAGACCCCGGCCCTGGCACTATGAGGGCCCTGCCCCTCCCGCCCCATCTCCCAAAGGGCCTGGGTAACCCCCCCATTCCCATCCCTCTCCCTGAGAGCTCCTTGGTAGCGTGCAAGGAGACATGGGCTTAGGGTCAGGCCATGAAGCGGTGACCACAGAGCTTTGGGGTCCTCCCCACCTGCTCAGGCTGGATTTAATACCCACAAAGGGTTAAGTCAGCTACTTTTAAATGCCCATATCTGGGGGTGGGGAGGAAGATGATTTCACTAAAGGTTTTCTTTTTTTTTTTTTTCTTCCAGTACCAGGAATCAAACTCTTGACCTTGCACTTGCCAGGCAGGCGCTGTGCAGCTGAGCTAAATCCCCAGCCCCTCCTATTGTTTTTTTAAAGAAAGAAAATGTTAATTGCTTAGGAACAAGGCAGCTGTTCATATCTCAGAAGCTGGCCCATCCTCTGGGGGCCCTGTAGTAGGCCCTCACCCACCGCTGTGGCTTTGGAGTTCCTCGGATTCCTGCGCCTGGGAAACGCCTGGACCAGGTGAGATTCATTTGTAGGGGCTCCATCCTGCCACACTAGCGCGGTGGGTGTCGGGGATTTATGGATGTCCTGGTCCATCTCATGAACTGAGATGTGGGCCAGCCAGTGATTTGTAGCTAACAGTAAAGTGCTCAGGTCTGTGACCGACTTGACTCTGCTCTGAGCAGATTCCAGGTTATCCTTGCATTAAGGTCATGCTCTTTCTTGCACCCTGACGTGCTCACTTTTGCTTTTTTTTGTTTCTTTGGTGCCCGGAATCGAACTCAGGACCTTGCACTTGCCAGGCAGGCACCTGTGCCGCTGAGCTATATCCCCGGCCCCTGACAAGCTCTCTTGAGGAAAACAAACTCTTGACCATCACCCAGACCTGAATGATGGATCTTCTGGCCTCAGGCTTCCCCTCTCCTCTCTGCTTCCCTCCGGCTTTCAGTGAGTTCCTCAAATGTGCTCAGCTCTTCCTCACATCAAGGCCTTTATTCCTGTAACTCATGGGCCAGGGGACCCCCTCCTCCCAGCGCTTTGCAGCTGCTGTATGTCTTGCTTTGGGGCTCAGCTTAAAATAAAATATCTTGATACAGATGGCTCCACACTTGATCTTAGCCAAAAGGCTGAGAAGTGATGATGGCTCCAGACTTAATGATGATTCAACTTAGGATTTTTTTACTTTATGCTGGTACAAAAACAATATGCATTCATAGTAATGGTCCTTTGAATTTCAGTCTTTCTCCTCTCAGTGTACGGTTGTACAGTGGCAGAGGGTGAACGACTGATACTCCACAGTGTGCTGTGCTGCTGAGGTGTGACGGATGCTCCTTGGGTTGGGTGTGCTTTGGCTTGTGCATGATCAGCTTACAGTGGGTTTTTTAGGACGTCACCCCAGTGTGAGTGCCGGAGCATGTGTACGGACTTGGAGTCTCAGAGCCTGGGGAGAGGATAGCAGCTGATTGTTGATCTACATAGTGGTTACAAGGTGTGCATATCAGCACACATCCCTTAAACTGCCTACTTAAAATCTGTAGATGTTATATAGATAAACTTAAGATGAACTTTTGGGGGCTGGGGATTTAGCTCAGTGGCGCAGCACCTACCTTGTAATTGTGAGGTCCTGAGTTCGATTCCCAGTACAAAAAAAAAAAAAAAGAAAACTTTAAAATATATTGGGGAGAAAGATGAACTTTTTAGAATAATACCAGCCTCTTCCCTATCTCCTGATATTTCTACTACTCTCAACCTTGGCAGGTCCATTTCTACCCTGGCATGATACTGATTGCTTATTTGTAAATTGTCTGTCCCACTGGAATGTAAGCCCTGTGTGGATAAGAACCTTCTTGCCCACCGCTGTCGCTTGCAGGTGGGTATAGCATAATGCCTGCTACATGGTAGACACCAACACACTGAGTAGATGAATAGATGAACAAAAACACTTGGGTTTAATGATGGGAAAAATTTAAAAGCAGCAAAGGAGGTCCGCCTGAGGATAGAAGCTTCCAAGACTCCCCACCCCTGTGACATGACAGTTCCGGGGTCTTGCTCTGTTAGCATGAGTCTGGAAGCCTGGTCCCTGCCTGGAGGTCATCTGCTGGCCAGTCTACAGCTCGTTGGGGTTGTCCTGGTCAGCATAGATGAGGAAGCCCGTGAAGAGGCTGTCGGTCCAGTAAGGGTCGTAGAAGAGCCCATTCTGCTCTGAGTAAAAGATCTGTAGCCAGACCTCGTCACCCTGCTTGAGAGCCAGGACGGTGGAGCCCGAGGCCACGTCGTGGTTGCCGGTGTTGGCGTCGAAGGTTCGGATGCGGTACTGGCCGTTATGCACGAGGCCGATGGCCAGGTGCTTGTTGGCCAGTGTGATGTCGTAGGTGAAGTAGTAGATCCCGGGCACACCACAGATGAACTTGCCACTGGACGAGTTGTAGTGGCCACCCTCGTTCATCAGAATCTTGTCAAACTTGATGGGCAGCCTCTCCCGGGGGTAGCTCTTAGTCACCGCCACGGAGAAAGCTGACTTGGGCCGGCCACTGCCACAGCTGCAGGGGCCCGGCAGGCCTGGCTCCCCCTTCTTGCCCTTGGGCCCTTTCTTGCCTGGTGTGCCATGCTTCCCAGGGGTACCACTGACCCCCTTGGGACCACGAGGGCCAGCCAGCCCGATGGCCCCGGCTTTGCCCTTTGGTCCTTGCTTTCCCCGGTTCCCTGTCCGGCCAGGTGGACCTGGAAGACAGAGCAGTGGGTGTTAAGGAGGGTGCCTCGTGGGCCCAGGCAGAAGCTGGGAGCCTTGGCTTTTCCCCTTGTAGTAGGAGCCCACGGGAAATGGGAGGAACTCCAGGGCTTTGGAGTGACATGGAAATGAAGCACATCTTAGCTGGGAGGGTGGCACACAGCTATAATCCCAGCACTCAGGAGGCTGAGGAGGGAGGATTGCTGGTTTGCATCTAGCCTGGGCTACATAGCAAGACCTTGGAGAGAGAGAGAGAGAGAGAGAGAGAGAGAGAGAGAGAGAGAGAGAGAGAGAGAGAGAGCAAGATTGCAGATCAGGGTAAAAAGCAACACAACAATTGACATCCTTTCCTTTTCCTGCTCCTGAAGATGAGCCTGGTTGTCTGCTAGATCCATCCTCCAGTGGCTGTTCTGTCAATGGGCTGAGAAGATAACTGGAAGAAACCTCTTGGCTTCAAACCACTGACTTTAGTAAGATCCCTTCCTAACGGGCAGGGGCCCTGTCCACACATGCAAAGGTTTTGTTGCAGTACTGCTTATAATGGCAGAAAAAAAAGTAGAAACAAACAAATGCCCCATCCAAAAGGAAATGATTAGAACATTATGGCCCTCCATACTGTGGAATTCTATATAGATGTTTAAAAACTGAGTTATGGGGCTGGGGATTTAGCTCAGCAGCACAGTACCTGCCTGGCAAGTGCAAGGTCGTGAGTTTGATTCCCGGTACCAGAAAAAAAACAAACAACAACAACAACAAAAAACCTCAGTTATATTTATGTCTTACATGAAACCATCTCTAAAGCATACTAAGTGGACCAGTGGCAGAATCTTCTATTTTAAAAGGGAAACCACAGTGCTAAATGCTTCAATATCTGTTTAGTTGACTGGGCGTGGTGGGGCCCGCCCGTAATCCTAGCACTCAGGAAGCTGAGGCAGGAGGATCGCTATGAGTTTGAGGCCAGCCTGGGCTACAAAGTCAAGGCAACCGCATAGTGGGAACCTCTCGCACTAAGACTAAAAAAAAAAAAAAAAAAAAAAAAAAAAAAAAAAAACGAAAAAAAACTATAGAACAAAAGGATGCCCGGCTTAGGGGAAATACTAGCTAAATAGGAGCTGGTGTACCCTACAGGACATTTCCCCCCAGTAATGATTTCCTGTAGGATACCTCCTGGTTTTTTAATATTAACATTTTACAAAATATCCGTTTCCTCAATACAACATTTTTGGCCATTGAGTATACTGGAAACGTTTATATTTATGACTGACACAACATGTGTTTTAAAAATGAATAAAAGTTTGAGCTACATCTGAATACAGTCGCACCACTGGCAGAGGGCAGAGCTGAGTGCAGAGGTCTGAAAGCTGCTGAGCGTCAGGCAGGGCCTGCTGCTGAAGGGGGCTGCGGCCGCGGGGCCCTGGAGTCCTCACTGGACCCCAGGCGACCCATGTGACAACCACATGAACCGCGAGGTTGTTGTGGGTTAGATCTAGACGGCCCCCGAGAGCTCATATATTCGGAAGCCAGGCTTTGGAAGGTGGCTGGGCCTGGGTGCGACGCTCCACGCTCGTCCGTTGGTTAAGACCCGGGTGAGCTCATAGCGGGGCGTTCCCTTGGGGGCGGGGCTGGCAGGGAGCTCGTCCCTGGGGGTGTGGCCTCCCCGGCTCCTCCGCTGGCTCGGCTCCTTGACTACACCTTAGACAGGAGCAGCTCCCTGCGGCTGTGTGTTTCTGCCAGGTTGCAGATGGCGTGGAACCGGCTCTGCGCTGTGACCGTGAGCCGGAGCCAACCGCTCCTCCTGTAGTGTGTGGGTGGGTGTCAGGCACTGTGTCCAGCAACCGGAAAATGACCGAGACCGCGATCAAGGAAGAAATGTCCCGGGCATTTTACACTCGACAAGGTACCTGGTTATGTGCACGTAGGTAGGCAGCTCACCGTGTTTTAGAGTTCTGAGTGAACATGTAATACATTTATTTACATTTTTTCTATTTTAAATCAGAATTGGGAAATAGGTTTCCAAGTAACGTTTTCTCAGTGAAAATCCAATTTTCAGGAACACACTGCTTATGTCAAGTGCTCAGCGACGTCTGGTATGATATTTTCATACCTGGGAATGATATACACGGTATGATTGAACACCTAAACGAAAACCAGGAAGGGCCTACAAGTAACCAGTCAACACTGGCTACATCTCAAGGAGTGGGGAAGATGAGGATAGTGCCTCAGCAGGACTTCTGCTTTATTTGCATTGTTTGAATGTAATATACTGAGACTGTATTTTTTCTTTTAGTTTCACTATTAGGGGAAAAAACATATTTGGTGTGCACCTGTAAGCCTAGCGTTCAGGAGGCTGAGGCAGGAAGATTGCAAGTGCAAGGCCAGCCTGGACTAGAGAGCAACACCTTGTGTCAAAAAACCAAAAATTGCTGGGTGTGGTGGCACCTGCCTGCCATCCCAGCACTCAGGAGGCTGAGGCGGGAGGATCGCTGTGAGTTCACGGCCAGCCTGGGCTACATAGTGAGACTCTGTCTCAAACAGCCAAACAAACCAAAAACAATGCAAAATTAAAACTAAGACTAAATAAATAAACAAATAAAAAAGAAGGGGGCTTGAGTTGTAGCTGAGGAGTAGATGACGTTCTGGGTGTAAGTGAGGCCTCGGGTTCAATCTCCAGCACCAAAGAGGGGAAAACGGAAAAAGAAGAATGAAACATAAAATCAAGAAAGTCACACAGCTGATCCCTGATAAAATGAAAGGAAACAAGGTGGGAGAAGGAGCCCAGAGTAGAGGAGGAGTAAAGATGATCGTTTTGACTTCGGGTGTTTTCCCAGAAGACCAGGAGATAAGGAACCTTACCAGGAAGGTTGACCATGATTTGTGTGTTGGGATTCCTTTAAAAAAAAAAAAAAAAAAAA